CATAATGGCGGAAAGGCAAAACATCACAGTTCTTAGACTTCCACCCTACCACTGCGAAATAAATCCAATTGAACTCATTTGGACACAAATTAAAAGTTATATGGCTAGAAAAAATACGTCATATAAAATACAAGCTGTACGTGAATTGTTATACGAGTCTTTACAACATATTACAGAACAAAACTGGAAAGATGCAGTAAGACATGTAATAGAAGAATAACAAAAAATGTGGGATCTTGATAACATAATTGATGCGACCCTAGAGACAGAACCGCTAATTATTAACCCTCAAGACGACTCGGATTTCGAAGTTTATTTTGAATTTGAATAGTTTTCTTATCGTAATAATATATAAAGGTATATATTAGTAGTTGTAATCGTAAGGTATTACTGTCAAAATGTTCAATGTGTTTTAAATGTCCATTTTTTTTTTCAAATCCTGAGAAAACTAAAAAGCATTTTTGAAAAATTTAAAGGCAGAATAAAATATTTGTTAGAATAAATAAAACGTTTCTTTTGCATGCAATATTTTCAATTAAAAATTATACTATATTCTCTCTTTTATTTTCACCCCTCTTACATAATATATTAAAATAAACATTGTTGAAGTTTTCAGGGAGTTTCTGCCCTCCGTAATAATGTAATCTTTCATTCTGCGTTTAAATGTTTCAAAAATGTTTATTAGTTTTCACCGAATTCGAAAATAATGGATACCTACATTTAAAACACATTGAAAATTTTGCCAGGCGACATTTGGCGCCTTTCCCCTTAATTAAATAAATGTATCTTTTACAAATGACATGAAATTTTTTATTTTTGAATAAAATAAAGAAGTTTTACTAAAACAAAAATACAATTTAAAAAATATATTTATTTCGTTCAAATAAATGTTTCAATCATGTACTCTACGACACTGGTCGGCCAAAATGCCTTCGTAATCGGATTATAAGGTTGACCGCTGTATTGTAATATTGCAGATACAAGGTGGGTTGGTTGAAAACATCTTAAACAGTCAGTTTCAGGTTGGTTTTTACTATTATATCGTATTACCTATCCTCTCTATATTTCAGCTCTCTAATTAGGATTAAACTTATAGTGAGCTATCAACAAATTGTGAAGCGAGTATAATTATTAATATACACGTTTAAAAATTACTACCGAGTTGATGTAGAGCCGCCGACGAATTAACATCGTGAGAATTTAGCATCGAATATATTGTTTAAAAACTGGTGTATTGTGCCCGATGTGGTTTTTGTACGATAAGAACAAATAATACCTTTTTATCAGAAAGTGATTTAAAACATTATTGTATGAAAACTGTATAAATTGTATAAATAATCACTGAATATATACTCCACGTCTACAAGAGGAAAGTTCCACCCAGAAGTCAACCACAAATTTTACTACAAAAAGGTATTTTATACTATAAATCATCATAAAGTTCTTCGATTAAAAGAAAACTGCGGCATTGATTACCAATATAGTTACCTTAATTAAGAGCATCTACGAAATAGGTTTAGCTTGCGTCCCATTTCATGAATAGGTAGGCCAAAAAGTTTCGGATAGAACGTGCAATTAGACAAGGAGATACAGGGATCTCTCCATAGTTGTTTACAACTGTACTTAAATATATTATATTCAAGCGAATGTATGAATGAATTAAGGAGATGTAGTATCCCTATTGTAGTAGGAGATAGTTGTAGTAGGAGATACCGGTATAAGTAATCCCCCACCTGTTGTTCAACAGCTAAGGGTGGAAGAACCGACACGTGGTAGGGCACTTCATTGCCCTGGAGCATAGAAATTAACTCCGAAGGCGGAAGAACTAAATTAGTCAACGGCATTGAGATGTGGAAAGCCAGGGGATGACTACCACATTAAAGATCCGTAAGGATATCCTTAGTAAAAATCATCATGGACCCACTAATGGATAATTTACTTAATGATCATGGAGCTCGGAATCCAAGATCCGACAGGGGAGGACAATCAGATTTAGACGACAGGGACTCTCAGGTCGTCAACAAGGTAAATCCCTGTCAAGCAAATAACTATATAGCCTTGAAAATCGGAACATGGAACGTAAGAAGTTTATACCAATCAGGCAAACTGGATAATGCTGTGTCGGAAATGTGCAGAATGAAAATTAATATACTGGGCCTTAGTGATATACAATGGCCTAAATCAGGAAAATGTAAGACCAGAAATGGAACGATGTATTATTCTGGAAACAACGATTCCAAGCACAAACGGGGAGTTGGCATTATAGTTGATAATAATTCTCATAAAGCTGTCTGTAACTTTGTTCCCTACTCTGATCGAGTATTAATGCTGTCTCTAAACTCTCATTTAAAACGTAAAATAAATATAATCCAAGTATATGCACCCACTGCAGACAAGGATGAAGACATTATAGAGGCGTTCTATGAACAAATCGACAATGTCTTAAGACTAACTAAAAGACAAGATATAAATATTATAATGGGCGATTTGAACGCTAAAGTTGGCCAAGGAGAAGTGGAGAATTGCGTGGGGCGATATGGACTCGGGGAAAGGAATGAACGTGGCGATAGGCTTGTCGATTTCTGTGTCAATGAGGAACTCATAATTACAAATACCTTGTTCAAACTTCCTAAACGTAGACTATATACATGGAGGTCATCAGCTGACAATAACAAGAAAATAGTCAGAAATCAAAGAGATTATATTATCGTTAACAGAAGATATAGAAATTCTATAATATCATCTAAAACTTACCCAGGAGCGGACATATCCTCCGACCACAACCCGGTTGTTTTGTCGATGAGAGTGAAACTAAAGAAGGTTAACAGCCCTAGCACCAAGAAAATCATAGATACAAGACGTCTCAAACAAGACAACACATATGTGGAAACCAAATTTAAAATAAACGAGAGCTTAAGGAAAGTCAAAGAAGGTAATGCAGAAACTCTAACTATTGACCAAAAATTGGGAAAAATTCAACATGCCCTTGTGTCAGTTGGAAAAGAAACCCTTAAACCACTTAAAGAAAAAACAAAACCTTGGATGACAGTAGAAATTCTTGAACTTATGGAAGAACGAAGAAAACATAAAGCAAAAGACCTGAATAAATACAAAGAAATTCAGAGAAACATCAGAAAGAAAATTCGAGAGGCAAAAGAGAGGTGGCTCTCCGATAGATGCAAGGAAATAGAAGATCTGAATAAAAAGTACGATAGCTTTAATTTACACAAAAAAAAAACAAAGAAATGACAAATTCTAGAAAGCGTACAAAAACGAATATCCTTAAAAATGATAAAGGGGATATTATTACTGATATGAAGGAGAGATTATGTCACTGGACCAATTACATTCAACAAATATTTAATGATGAAAGAGAAGAACTGTCATTAAAAATCACCGAGGATACTGGACCAGCAATATTAAGAGAAGAAGTCATCTATGCTATCAAAAACACAAAAAAAAAGTAAAGCTACTGGACCAGATGAGGTGCCCATCGAATTATTAAAACTCATCGATGAAGATGTTATTGATGTAATGGTTGAACTCTTTAATCTAATATCAGACTGCCACAATCCCCAGACAATGGCTGCAATCAACCTTTGTAGCAATTCCCAAAAAACCAAGTTCAACAACTTGCTCAGACCACAGAACAATAGGTTTAATGAGTCACACACTTAAAACATTTTTGAAAATAATTCACAGCAGAATTGTTAAAACTCTTGAATATGAGATTAGTGACACACAATTTGGCTTTAGAAATGGTATGAGTACAAGAGATGCTTTGTTCGGTTTGAATGTGCTGGCTCAGAGATGCATGGACATGAATCAGGATATGTACTTATGTTTTGTAGACTTTGAAAAGGCATTTGATAAAGTTCAACATAAAAAGCTTGTAGATATATTAAAAAGCAAAAATATTGACAGTCGTGATCTGAACATTATATCTAATTTATATTGGAATCAAACTGCCAAGGTAAGAGTTGACAGCCAGTACACCGAAAATATCAAAATACAGAGAGGAGTCCGCCAGGGTTGCGTGCTGTCCCCACTACTTTTCAATGTCTACAGTGAAGCGGTATTTCAAGAAGCGATCTCAGACTCAATAGAAGGTATATCTATCAATGGAGAAGTTTTGAATAACTTACGTTTTGCAGACGATACAGTAATAATTACGGATAACAACAATGATTTACAGAACCTAATGCAACGCCTTAATGAACGCTGTCATGAGTACAAACTGAAGATAAATTTAAAGAAAACTAAATGCATGATCATGACTAAATCTGCACATACAAATATCCAATTGACTATTGAAGATACTGCAATTGAGAATGTTAATAACTATAAATATTTAGGAACATGGATAACATCAGATGTAGACCAAACCAAAGAAATTAAGACACGTATTGAAATAGCACGTACATAATTTATTAAACTTAAAAAGTTTCTTTGTTGTCGGGATATAAGGTTAGAACTACGCCTGAGAATGCTTCGATGTTACGTGTTCTCTACTCTTGTTTATGGTCTGGAAGCTTGGACACTAAAACAAGTTCATCTGAATAAGCTGGCCGCCTTTGAATTTTGGTGTTACAGAAGAATCCTACGAATATCATGGATTCAAAGAATGTCAAACATGGAAGTAACTAGAAGGATAGGAAATGAGGCGGAAATAATATTAACTATTAAAAGACGAAAACTTGAGTACTTGGGACATATGATGAGAGGGTAAAAATACGCATTATTACAACTTATTATGCAGGGCAAAATCCGAGGAAAGCGATATGTGGGAAGACGAAGAATATCCTGGCTTAAGAACTTAAGGGAATGGTTTGAATGCAGTAGTGCAGAACTTTTTAGAGCGGCAGTCAACAGAGTCCGCATAGCCATGATGATTTCCAACCTTCGATAGAAGATGGAACTTAAAGAAGAAGAAGTATCCCTATGTATATCATATTAGAAATGACTCAGTGTTATTTGTAGTAAAAATAAAAATGTCAAATAAAATTTTATATTTTTAATTTTCCTCAATAATTTTAAATAAATAATAAAACTTAAATACTCAGTAACATTTGTAACCTCTAAAAAAATCTTCCGAAAATTCCATCGACTCAATATTATAAATATTGAGATATGAGGGTAAAAATCATTCTGCTTGGCAAAAAACAACCACTAATTTATACAAAATCATTCCTTATCGTCTTTCATTCTTTTGTTTTCTTCTGCAATTGCCATTAAAGTTCTAGCTGTAGCTTTTCCTGTCTGCATAACCAACGAATAGAAAATACCATTTTGATTTTGTAAAAGTGTATGTGGATGATCGAATTCGACAGCTTTTCCAGCATCCATGACTAGAACTTTATCCGAATCCATAATTGTGTTTAATCTGTGAGCTATGGTTAATACTGTGCACTTGTCGAAATTTTTCCTTATTGTTGTTTGAATCAAACCGTCAGTATATGGATCGACGTTCGCTGTAGCTTCATCTAATACTAGTATTTTGTTATTTCTGATTACAGCTCTCGCTAAGCAGACTAACTGCCTTTGACCTACACTGAAGTTAGAGCCTCCTTCTGCCATTTTGCTATCTAAACCGGCTGGTAAGTCGTCAACTGCACTCTTGAGTTCTACTTGTTCTAAAGCGTTCCATAATACCTACAAAGAAAAAATGTAGTTACTTCGAGTCTAAAATAAGTTTGTAAGGGTATATTGGTAACATTAGTTAAAAGAATAATAGTAAGAATTTTGTTTGTTTCCCCACTTTGTTTAAAATATACCTCAAAAGTGCTTTAAAAAGATGGAAAAAAATGCAGGACAATGGAAATACCGCTCACCAAAACCATGGTATATACGCTCAACTTTGCAGATGATCAAGTAATAGTGGCTCAAGATTGTGATGATTTGAACTATTTGCCACGAAAATAAATTGAAGAGTATGATATATAGGGTCTAGAATTAAATAAAAAGAAAACCGAATAAAATGACGCATCCAAAATAAAAGCAATGGAAATGAATTATTGGAGAAGATGTTGCCAACTCACTAGAAGAGATACAGTAAGGAATACTGAAATTAGAGAGCGTATGGGCATAGACACTGACATCCTGGAAACTATAAAATGCAAAAGGCTAAAATAGTATGGCCATGTAGAAAGGATGAATGATCAACGATGGCCACAGAGAATGTTACAGTGGATCTCCACCAACCGCAGGAAAAAGGGAAGACTAAGAAGATCGTGGAGACAAGAAGTAAATGGTGCAATGAAAGATAGGGGTCTACAAGTAGATGACTGGAACTATCGCAAGCGTTGGAAGCTAGGTTGCGAGAAATGGCGACAGCTGATATATATAGAAAACCGAATACCTGTGCATTTTAGTAAAACAAAAAGATCTCATATTAGACGATAACACCACGATAAAGCACTGCTGTGATAATAAAAGCCATAAGAGAGAGAGACGTCAGGGAGAAAAGCCATCATAATAAAAAGAAATATTAAAATAGCAACCAGAAGCAAAAAGAAAACAATTTAGACCAAGAAAAAGTTGAAGCGAAGGAATAAATAAAAAACTGAGAGAAAGGGGCCACACAAGAAGATCTATGGAACAACTTGACTAAGTGGCAATTGGAAGTCGGAAAACGGCGGAGAACGTAATAAATCGACATGTAATGGTAGTAGTAGTTGCGATAGTAGAGCTAAGATTAACCCTTAAGCTCCTGGCGTTACGTATATGTAACGCAAAAACCGCTAAAATCATCAGCCTGAAATTCGGAAAGTGATTTTTATGTTACTTAGTTTTCAGCGTTTGGTTCAAGGATTTGACCTAACCTGTTTATTTAGTTGAGTGTTTGGTGCAACAGTGTTTATTATTTTTGGTAAAAATGGATCTTGAGTTTGAGTAAGTATATTTTTACTATCTGTTTGTTATTATATTTTGTTTAAAGTGTTTTCAGATGAGCATAACCTAATGTCTTTTCTTATTGATAATATAAATGTTTCGAAATTTTATTCTGGGTGTGTAAATTATGCCTTTTATTTTGTGTTACATATATGTAACGCTAGGAACATATTATGAAAAGGGTTTTCTCTTTAAGAAGCGCTGAAGATGATTGATGCCGATGAATCTTTAGACGTTGATGATATATATGACAGATATATATATATATATATATATATATATATATATATATATATATATACTGAACCCCCAGAATTTAATGTGCTGACAGACCAGAAGTTTGGTAATAAGAAAGGATATGATTTCAATAGGTTGCCCAGGAGAATTCTTAGGACGCCTGTTAAACTTGTTTTACGAAATATTAAAGAGATGAAATATGGAAGAGATTCCGAAATATATCATATCGACGAAGCTGAGCCTTCCAGATCATTAGCAAAAGTTAAAAAACAAGTGAAAGAAAATATGAAGTTTTTCTAGACCAATGGTGATTTCATAAGTCAAAACGCAGCTTTTCCTTCCAATAATTTTTCATATTTCTCAAACCTTTCCCCAATTGAAAAATTCTGGGATGAAAATATAATTTCCCATATTACAGATGAGACTAGAAAATATGCTCTTTTTAAAAACCCCAAGATCCAAATATCACTAGAGAAGAGGTAAAACTTAAACCAGCTATCGCGCACAGATTAGGTCAAAACCTTAAGGGGAGTGAGACAGAAGAGCAATATTTCACCACTGATATTTAATTTGTACTTAGAATACATTCTTAAAGAGGCTGTAAGAGATATTGGTGAAGGCATCTCAATAAATGGAGCCAAGCTCAAAATCCTGCGGTATAGAGATTATAAAATAGTGTTTTCCAATACCACAGAAGGGCTTAAAACTTAATGAACAAAATAACACGAGTAGAACATATGGACTGGATATAAATACTAGCAAAACCAAGGAGCACTACTAGTAGAAAAACATAACTGGAGCAAATCTGTATGTAAACCAAATGAGAATTGAATGTGTCTCACAGTACAACTACTTAAAAACTATAATCAATGAGTCGTGGGATAATACCCAATAACTCAAATATCCAGAAACTCTATTAAAACTTTAGGATTTTGAGATATGATTATACAGAAGGATCCTGAAAATACCATGGACAGAAAAAGTCACCAATGAAGAAGTACTACGGAGGATGCACATAACCGCGGATTTGGTCAACATCGTGAGAGGCTGTAAGCTGCAGTACTTAAGACACATATTGAGAAATCAAGGCAGATATGAGCTACTCCAATGCATTTGACAAGGTGAAATTGAAAGAAAAAGGGCCCCAGGACGAAGAAGAATATGCTGACTTGGGCACGGTATAAAAAGTCCTCAACGCAGCCATTCCGTATAGTAGCCAACAAAGTCATTATAGCCAGAATGATCGCCAACGTTCGGAACAGTAAGGCACCATAATAAGAAGAATATCACGAATCTAATAATGGACTAAGAAGATATTAAAAGTAATAGATGAAATCCAAAAGATTGCCATATTAAAATGATACTTAGCAGGACACATAAGAACAATGAAAGACAACCGTTAAACAAAGCAAATGGTTGAATTGCGACCAAGAGCAAAGAGGAGGAGAAACAGACCTCAAACTAGGTGGACTGATATCAAGTGAATGGCTGCTCACGAATGGATGCAAAAAATAACGAATAGAAATAAATGGACACACCAAATGACAGCTTACATCCGATGATAAATGGAATACCTGTTAAAGATAACAATGATTAAAAATATTTAATTTTGCTTACCTCATCTTTATACTCATCGAAAGGATCCAAATTATTTCTCAACGTTCCTGAAAATAGGACTGGTTCCTGAGGAATAATAGAAATTTTCGATCTGAGCTTCTTCAAAGCCACAGATTTTGTATCGATGTCATCAATAAGTATGCTACCATCGATGTGAGTCAACCGGAAAACAGCTTGAATCAATGAAGACTTTCCTGCACCTGTTCTTCCCACTATACCCACTTTTTCGGACGGTTTGATAACAAAACTGAGATTCTTAAGTACCGGAGGATCGTCGGGCGAATACTGAAGAGACATATTTTTAAATTCTATTTTTCCTTGATCTGGCCATGTTGCAGCTGGTTCTACAGTGTGATTATCCTCTTCGTGTTTTAAGTCAGCGTATTCTTGAACTCGTTCTACTGACGTCATTTGGTTTTCGAGTTCAGACCATTGTCGCATGCCCCATTGGAACATCCCTGTTAGACCTAAGGTTTGAGTAAGGGCAAGACCCATATTTCCTCCAAATGTTTCTAAAAATATAAAGTTTATTAGTTTATGTCAGTTATTTAAACTAAAACGTGAGAAGTAAAAAGTTATTATCTATATTTTTTTAAATTCTGTGTTGATTTGTAGATTTGTAAGTTTTGTTTCGGATTAAATCCTTTAGCGACACACCTTATATATATTTAGATTATAAACATGATTAAATTACTGTCCATTCTTATTATTATGAAATTATGAAATAAATATTATGAAATTCTATACAAATGTACCCACAGACTTTGTATTTGAAATAGGAAACAAACTATTATATTAAAAGGAACGAATAAATGTAGAGACAGACAAAAATACATTTGAGTAGGAGAGGCTGTTTGAGACACATCACTACCCCCAGAACCCCTGGGGTTCTATCAATAGGTTATCTAGACCAATATCTGAAATATTGTCTAAAACGATTTAAAACTGAAAACACTTATAAAATAAAAAAAAGTATTTCGAAAATGATGTTCAAAAAGCGTTGAAGTTATTTTAAAATGGTATAAGTGATCGAGAATCTTCAAGAATTTTCAACATTTCCAGAGTCACCATAAGGTACCGTAAAGGTGAAAAATTTCAGAACAAGATAACGAGTCGACCAGACCCATTTATTCATTATATTTATTTATTATATTATATTATTAAACAAGTTTTAAATTTGTTAATAAATACTTATACCTACAAGCGATATTAATACAACCATTACAAGCGATAGCCGACAAAAAAACCACGGAGAATATGGACGAGGGTCCCACCCAATGGTTCAACAAAAAATGAGATTGATTACATCCTAACCAAAGAAAAGAACATAGTACAAGACGTTACTGTCGTAAACATGATTTCCATAGAAAGTGATCACAGAATTGTTAGAGTCAAAATCAAAATTAACGCCACAACAGACAGACAAAAATTTAAACCATCTAAAAAAGAGATAGATACAGAACTTCTTAAAGAACGCAAACAGCAATACATAAACCAGCTAAAAAAAGTGACATATCACAGCTAAAGGGTTTGCAACTAAACGAATGAAAAGATAAAATAACAACAGAACTACTAGAAGCAGGCCTCAAGATTGCTAATAAACAAAAGCGAACACAACAAAAAATTAGCGATAAATCACAAGATATGCTAAAAAAACGACGACAACTCCTGAATGATAACAAAAGAAATACAGTGGAGTTTACCGAACTGAACAAAACCATAAGAAAACAGATAAAGGAAGATTTAAAGAAATACCAAGAAGATCGCATTAAGAAAATCATAGAGAAGAACAAAAGTTTAAAAACAATGAAGACAAATATAGGAAAAAGAAAACTAATCATGCTTAAAGCGGAGAACAATGAAGAAAGTTCTAAAGTACAGTTCTAAAAATGAACCACCACTATCTTTTAAACAGAATCTCTCGAGAAAAATACAAAATTTTGGCTCAGAGGTATTACCAGAAATAATTGAAGATGAAATCGAAAAATCCATAAACGACATGAAAAGAAATAAAGCGGTCGATGAGGACAAAATACTGGCGGAACTGCTAAAAGAAGGAGAAGACACGATAAAAAAAATGCTAAAGATACTGTTCAACAAATGTCTGTTTGAAGGTAAAATACCTAAACAATGGAGAAATTCCAACACAATCTTAATACATAAGAAAGGAGACCGAACAGACCTAAACAACTACCGTCTTATTTCCCTTTTGTCATGACTATATAAAATCTTCACAAGAATAATAAACAACCGACTAACCTATAAACTTGATAACTACCAACCAGTGGAACAGGCCGGATTCAGGAAAGGATACAGCACAATCGACCATCTACATGCGCTTAAAATATTAATTGAGAAAACCAATGAATACCACCTTCCGCTGTAATTAGCATTCGTAGATTATAAAAAGGCTTTCGACAGCATTGAACATTGGGCGGTTGAAGAAGCTCTGGTTAATAGTAGCATAGATTCAAGATACCGACAATTGATACATGATATTTACCAAAACGCAACCGTGACCGTAATTCTGGACGACAAATTAATAACGGATAATATAAAAGTTAACCGAGGATTCCGACAAGGCGATATAATTTCACCTAAACTGTTTACCTTGACCCTCGAAATATAATAAAATCAACAGATTGGGAAAACAGTAGAATATGTATTAACGGAAAGTACCTAAATCACTATAGATATTCGGATGATATACTCCTGATCTCCTCGGAACGACAAGAACTTTAATTAATGTTGAATGAACTTCATGAAACATCACTGCAAAAGGCCTAAAAATTAACTTCAACAAAACAAAAGTAATAACAAACACGGAAGACCAAGAGGCAATAAAAATACAAACAGAAAAAATAGAACAGGTAAATGAGTATATTTATCTAGGACAAGCAATCAGAGCTAACAGAGAAAATTAAACAACTCGAGACGAGTAAGAAAGGAATGGCAGCGTTCGACAAACTTTCTTACGTTCCAAAAAATCAAACAATCCCTGTACACTTACGAAGCAAGGTATATAACTCCTGTATAATACCGGTGCTCACCTACGGAGCACAGACATGGACATTTACACAGGCCAATTTGGATAGGATAAGGAAGGCACAAATATAGCGCACAAGTAGATATATCACTTAAAGATAGAAAACGTAACCAGTGGATCAGGACCAGAACAAAGACAGTACACGTGATAGAACAAGCAGCAAAACTGAAATGGAAATGGGGTGGACACAATGAACATCTTTAAGACGGACGATGGAACAATGCCATCGGAAAGTGGCGTCCATACAATGCAAAGAGATTAAGAGGCAGACCACAGATGAGGTGCAAAGATGACATCAGGAAGCAAGGAGGCCCCACATGGCAGAGAAAAGCTCAATATAGAGAAAGATGGAGAGAACTGGGGGATACCAATATCCAACAATGGAAGGATAGATAAAAGGTTAAAAAAATCTGACAATGCAATGGATAACTCGATATACTGCACATTAGAATCTGTTAGGAAAGATGAAAATATTTGGGCTGCCATTGAGGGAGGTAACTCCAGAACCACTAAAAGTATCACCGAGGAGTTGAGGTCAATTTCATAGAATGGAGTTTAGTCAAGCTGCAATGAATGCATCTTACGAAAATGAAAATATTATAAAAAAAACATCCTTTTCACCTATAAATCGTCATTTTCAGTAAGGGGTTATCACAATCCTTTCAGAACGCGTTATTGGTCCCAGGAAAATGAATATAGAAGTATTCTACATCGGACCCAGCGCCTTTAAAACTGAATGTGTGGAACAGCATTTTAGGTGACCATGTAACTGGTCCATTTTTTATTGAGGGAGTTCTGAATTCAGCTAAATATTTTGCTCTTTTACAAGATACCGTTATTCCATCTATTCAAAATCTTTCAGATGTACGTTTTAGAAGATGTCTGGTATCAACAGGATGACTGTTTTGTTTATAATACGCGTATTGTGACAACTTATTTGAACACAATTTTTCAGGATCACATTATAAGCGAAACAAGCCAAATTAATGACCTGATTTGGCTCCCATGGATTTCTTTTTCTGTGGGCATATTAAATCCACCATCTATGGCAATCTAGATAATTTAGAAAATAAACTAAGAAATACATGTATTACGATTACGATACAACAGCTTGTAAACCTAAGACAAGCATTTTATAATGGATTAGGTTATTTTCTTGCAAAAGATGGAGGTATATTTGAAACTTTTAGGTTCACTGGTGAACGTAAATCGCAATTTGCTTTAATTTTAGTAATATGAAGCAACACACGCTCCTGTTGGAGCACATATGTTATATTATTATGGTTACGAAAACCATTGTATTTGAATGCTTTTATTTACTTACCGCTTTCGACGAAAATCAGCGACAATATTACCAAGGCAATGTATATTACACATATAAAGTCCAACCAGAATCCAAAGGTTCTATTGGCTCCTAGATACATGAAAAATGCGGCACTGTGGTGATTTTGATACCTATCAAATTCAGTTTTGAGTATTTCTTCAGCTTTGAATGCTCTGATAGTAGTCAGCCCTTGTAACGATGCTGTTAAATGAGTATATATGGGACTTCGTGCTAAAAAAGTATTACACCGAATGAATAGACCAACTAGATATGATATTTTCATAATTACACGAACTTTTTACATAGTTTGCACTGTGGTATTATATTATGGATGAAAATTTTATCATTACAGTTCACATAAATCAATATTACTGAAATTGCACGGTCAAATTTTAACAGAATGAAAAAATCCGTAAACTAATTTTCGAAACCAAATTCAGATTTTTGCTTTAATCTGTGCCTTCTAAGAATTGCAAGGCAAAAGAGACGTTGATACAGATGGTATTAGAGGCCTATTAGGCCGAAATACATATAAGCAAACATGAGATGAAAAGAAAAATAAGTAGAAACTGAGATCTAGTAGATAGAAACAAACTAGGGCAATATAAAGAGATATACAAAGACCTATTAAAAGAACAACTTACCCAAAAATTATATAGTGATGATAAAGATATAGACGAAATAGACAACATACTTACAGCAACAATGATTACATTAGGAAAAGAAATAGCAAAAAAGGATCCAAAAAAGAACAACTATATATCAACAGAAACAAAGAGGCTTATGGATAAAAGAAGGAAGCTGAACGAAGGAGGCAAAACGAAATATATAGAATATGTAGAAATCAATAAAACAATAAGCAGAATGATAAAAGAAAATAAGAGAAAAGAACAAGAAATAAAAATAGAAGAGGTAATAAAGAACAACAAAAATATGAAATGCTTAAGGCCGAAATTAGGTAAGTTTGAAATAAACAAAATAAAAGATGTAAATGGAGTAGAAACAAACGTTAAAGATGACATCATAAATATAATCTCTCATTTCCACTCAGAATTATATAAAACAAAAAAGGAACTACCAGAAGAAATTAAAAACCAACTTAAGGTTAAAATAAAAAATGTCAACTCAGAGCTACAGCCAGAAATAAGCAAATCAGATATAAACTCCTAACAAAAATTTTAACCAATAGATTGACAACAAAATTCGATGGATACCAGTCGAAAGAACATGCTGGTTTTAGAAAGGGATTCAGCACAAGTGACCATTTACTAAGTATGAGGATACTTATAGAATGAGCAAATGAATACCACATTCCTCTATATGACGTTCATAGATTTCGAAAAGGCTTTTGACAGAGTCGAACATTGGGCAGTGAAAAGTTGTTTGATTAAAAGCAGAATTGACCACAGATATACGGAACTAATAGCCAATATGGAAGCCAAAACAACAATTAAAGTATATGAAGGAACAAAATCAATACAAATAAATAGAGGCGTGAGACAGGTGATAAAATATCACCGAAACTTTTCAATCATGCTCTTGAAGATACTTTTAAAAGATTAGAAAGAAAAAGGTATAAAAATTTATGGACAACGTTTGAACCATCTAAGATACGCTGATGATATCGTATTGATAACTGATAAAAAAGAAGAATTATTTGAAATGATGAAAGAACTGGACGTAAAAGCTGGAAAGGTAGGCCTTAATATGAATTACAGCAAGACCAAAACCATAACAAATACAGATGAAGACATCACAATGAGAATCGGACAAGATGAAATAGAACAAGTTCAGGATTATATATATATATATATATATATATATATATATATATATATATATATATATATATATTTTGGTCAAATTATAAAACTTAACAAAGCGAACCAAACAGCAGAAATAAAGAGACGAGTTAGACTGGCATGGACGGCATTTGGCAAACTAAGCTACATTCTTAAAAACAAAAGATATCCACAGCATCTTAAGACCAAAGTATACAATCAATGCGTACTCCTTGTTCTTACTTATGGTTCCCAAACGTGGACATTTGCAAAAGCAAACATGGACAAAATCATAAAAACCAAGGAGCAATGGAAAAACAAATGTTGCACATAAGACTAATGGATAAAAAGAGAAACGAGTGGATAAGAGAGAAAACAAAAGTGAGGGATGTTAGACAAGAAGTTGCAAAATTGAAATGGAGATTTGTCGGACACAATATAAGACAAAACGAAGACTGATGGAACAAAATTCTTATAAGTTGGAGACCGTGGGAATATAAACGAAGCAGAGGAAGGCTCCAAATGAGATGGGCAGATGATATCAAGAAGCACGTGGGCTCTAGGTGGATGACTGTAGCGACAGACAGAGAAGAATGGAAAAGGATTGGGGAGGCCTATGTCCAAAGATGGACCAAAGAAGGCTAATTAGATAGATAGATATACATATAAGCGGATACATAGACGCACTATACGTAAAATCAAATCTTGACTGTCTTTTTCGTTTTATTCCGATATACTCTGTACTAGTACAAGAAACCAATTCGCTAAGGATTTTTGCTTAGTCGAGGAGATATGTCGTGGAATGCAAATTTTAGATTCCCAATAACAGGATAGAGATAATATCTTTATCAACGTCTGTTTTGGTTTCTGTTCATTTGGTTTCGAAAATTAGTTTACGGATTTTAATATCAGACGTCGGCTATTTGTGTCCATTCGAAGCTATGTTAGAGTTGCTTCCTAAGACAGAAGATATTTATTTTCACGTTCAGAGCAACTATGAATTGCCGTTCTAAAGAGGGCTATTAGGTAGAAATACGTCTAAGCAAATACATAGCCTTTCTAAAGCTCTAGAGGGATTAGGAAATGCCGAAAGGTCTTAATCCCAATGAAAGAAAAATCCAAATCTGCAACCTCCACGTGGTAGAAGATGGGCAACATCTAGCTATAGATGAGTTGTTGGATAAACGAGATACTAAATCCGGATAAAGAAATTAAAACTCGTATAGAAAATGCAAGAGGAGCATTTATGAAACTTAGATCTATTCTGAGCAATTCTCAGCTGAACTTACAGCTGAGAATTAATATTGTTCTGAAGCTATTTTCTTGTGGCATTGTAAATTAATTACTATTTAACTGAGAATAAGCCACAATTAAAGATCTCTCTCTTCAATCCTGACCCCCCAGGGGGAGTGTAGTGGTCGACGTGATGTCGTGTATTGTCCGTCTTCAGAGATCTCTGTCTCTGGTCATTTCTTTTAATTCATGCATAGGTCTTTAGCATATTCCTGTAATTTGATCTATCCATCTTGTTGGGGATCTTCCTCGTGATCTTCGGCCTTCTACCTTTCCTTGTATTATGAGTCTTTCCATGTTTTCTGTGTTTGCTCTCATAACATGCCCAAAATATTTTAATTGTTGGAGATGGACTTTACTAGAGAGTCGTTGACTAACTTTTAGCTCTCTTAAAATTAAATTATTTGTTCTACGGTTGGTCCAAGGAATTCGTAACATTCGTCTCCAACAGAACATTTCAGTGGCGTCTATCTTTCTTCTCTCCGATTCTCTTAGAGTCCAAGATTCACATCCGTAGGTCAGTATTGGGAATATTAAGCAGTTGATCAACCTCGTCTTTATCGCTCTTGAAATTTGACAGTCCTTCCATATTTTGGTCATTTTTGCTGTGTCAACTTTTGCTAGATCAGATCTACGTTTAATATCTTCTTGTAATGACCCTGTGTTTGTGATTAATGATCCCAGTTATAAGTATGAGCTCACAACCTCGAACCGGTCAATTGTGGTTATGTGTGGATGATTGTTGTGTAGTCTATCCACTATCATGATCTTTGTCTTTGATATGTTTAATTGCAGACCAAATATTTGACTTTCGTTTTCTATCAGTCGTATAAGTTCTATCAGCTCTGCTTGACTATTTGCAAGAAGGGCTGTGTCATCTGCGACACGTAGGTTGTTTAGTTTATGACCATTTATTGAGATGCCCTTTTCCCATCCTTCAAGTGCTCTTCGCATAATATACTCTCCATATATGTTGAATAATTGTAAAGATAGTATACATCCTTGTCTGACACCCCATTCTGGATGAAATTCGTTCGAAAGTGTGTCAAGTACTTTAACTGATCCAGTAGTGTGTTCATATAGTTCGGTTATAAGCGTAATTAGATGTTGTGGTACGCCTACTTCTTTTAGTATTCGCCATAAGTGTCTCCACTTGACCCTGTCGAACGCTTTACGGTAATCTATAAAACAGATGTACAGTGGGATGTTGAATTCCCTAGATTTCTCGATTATCTGTCTTATATTCAGCAGGTGTTCTCGAGTGCCTCTACCTTTATTAAATCCAGTTTGCTCTTGTGGAATTTCTCTTTGAAGGAATGTTTTCAGTCTCTCATTGATTATATGTAGCATTATCTTGCTGGCATGGGATATAAGAGAGATAGTTCTATAATTGTCGCATTTATGGAAGCTGCCTTTTTTATGTATGGTCGTTATTGTAGATTTTGTCCAGTCTTCAGGTCATTGTTTGAAATGCCATATTTGGTTACAGAGTAGATGAAGTAAATTTACGCCGGTTTCTTCTGTGGCTTTAATTAATTAAAGATAAAAATACGTTTATTGACGTTTCAATTTCCACTTCGGAAATCGTTCTCAAGATTTCCGAACGATAGAAATAGAGAACGATTTCCGAAGTGGAAATTGAAACGTCAATAAACGTATTTTTATCTTTAATTGTGGCTTATTCCCAGTTAAATAATAATAAGCTGAGAATTAAGTTCCTAAAATGTTATGTGTATCTTGTATTACTGTATGAATGTGAAACCTGGATTATGAAGGTTAACATAATGAACAAATTAGAAGCCTTCAAGATGTGGTTATATCGTAGAATGCTCAGAATATCATGGGTTCAACACATTTCAAACAGAGAAGTTTTGAACAGAGTAGATCAAGGTGAACGTGACTTCACCTTAACTTTGGCTTGCATCAGTTAGGTACTATCTACCAATAATTATTATTGGAATATTGTTGTTTAGGTATATAACGATCTTATAATTATATTTATGGTCCCCTTATGGTCCTCTTTATGATCCCCTTTAATATTTTCATTTACAAGCTTTTTGTCGTTCATTTCTTGACAAAAGCGTTTTAAAAAGCCTATTTAATTGATTTATTTATTTATTTTTGTGCTTGTTTTATACACAATTTTAATTCTTGTTTTTATACTTACTCACTGATTCCACCCTCTTAACGTCTCGACTGGTTTCTAAAAATATGGTCCTCATTACATAGAACAGTATACCTATGCAGATAGTGGGTATCATGATCCAGTAAGTCAAACTACCTATTACGAAACAGATTGCACCTACTTCGAGACCAATCTAAAAGTAAAAATTAAGTTTGTAAAAACATCTAAAGAACGCCTTATTTGACATACAAACAATATAACCATCGTAATACTAATGGATGCTCCAAAGAGAGGTTTTAACATTTTGAATATTAACGCAAACAGGGGACAGTAATGTAAAACAGGCCACCTCTGGATGAGAACTAATATTAAGTTATAAATATAATTTCTAAACTTTTAAATTCCTACTTTCCCAATTATTTTACTTCAAAAGTCGTCAGAAACTACTTATTGACAACTGTATTGAAATCTGTATTAAAAACAAATGTTACAATTATTGCTCTACGAAATAAACAAATTCCAAAATTTGTTTATGCGTATTAATACGAGTTGACCCACATATTGTGTTTCCCTTATACAGGGTGGTCCTTAAGTAATTGTACAAAAAAGAAACCGTAGATTCTACACTTTAAAATATTACGATTTAAGCCAAGTTGCTTTAATAAAATGTTGATATTAAGAAAGATACAGGGTGTTAAAGTGGAAATTTAAAATTTTATTTTTCGCTATAACATTTATGTTTATCAACCTTTATGTATAAAAATTTACAACTGGGTACTATTAAATATCAGAAATTAGAATTTGATGTAAACGTTATTGTAGCTGATAGAGGTCGCCATATATGCTACATATGTGGCATACATTTGCACTTAACTTTTTTGATCTTCAAGTTACCGGTATTTTTAATAAACAATATTAAAGATACATTATTTTAACAAAAAAAAAGGTATACCTGTTAATATCTTCATAACTCAACAGTTTTCGAGATAATCGCATTTTAGAGATCAACTACATAATTCTGATTTATCGCAATTACTCCAGACAGCGAAAGAAAATTAAAGAAAAACATCAATACTTCTAAATTTTGGTATAAAATGCCTTTAATAAAGTTAAGAGTTAACGAATTATTAAACAAAATAAATATATCAGCAGGATAAAATAATAGGATTTAATAAATAAAAGAATAATTGGATTTTACATTAAACATTTTACGTTTTGTATTAAATTAAAGTCATAATCACAACATTTTATTTACAAATCAAATTAAAAAATAGTTAAACTAAATAACATTAAACTTTTTGTTAAAGTAAGTGTTCAATATGTCCGCCATTTTCTTTAATTCGTTTGTCAATACATTCCATAAAATATCGTCTCATATTAAATAGCATCATTGGTTCTAAAGAAACTGCTGCAGTATTTATCATAAATGTTATAAGTATAATAATAAGTAATTTTTTGAAATTTTTATGAATTTACTATACTTTAAAATATTACGATTTAAGTCAACTTGCTTTAATAAAATGTTGATATTAAAAAGATACAGGGTGTTAAAGTGGAAATTTAAAATTTTATTTTTCGCTATAACTTTCATGTTTGTAAACATTTATATACAAAAACTTACAGCTGGTTACTATTTAATATAAGAAATTATAATTTGATGAATACTTTGATATAGCTAATAGAGGGCGCCACATATGCCACATACGTGGCATAAATTTGCACTTGACTTTTTTGTTCTTTAAGTTACCGGTATTTAAAATAAAAAATATTAAAGATACATTATTTTAACAAAAAAAAGGTATACTTATTAATAACTTTAAAACTCAATAGTTTTCGAGATAATCACATTTTACAAATCAACCGCATAATTCTGATTTAACGTAATTACTCCAGGCAATGAAAGAAAAATAGATAAAAAAATCAATACTTCTGAATTTTGTTATAAAATACCTTAATAAAGTCAATAATTAACGAAATATTAAATAATATATATATATATATATATATATATATATATATATATATATATATCAGCAGGATAATTAATAATAGGATTTGATAAAATAACAGAATAATTGGATTTTACATCAAACATTGTATTTTAATGTGTATTGAATTAAAGTCATAATCAAAATATTTTATTTACAAACCAAATTAAGAAATAGTTAAACTAAATAACATTAAACTTTTTGTCAAAGTAAGTGTTCACTATGTCCACCATTTTTCTTTAATTCATTTGTCAATACATTCCATAAAATATTGTCTCATATTAAATAGCGTCATTGGTTCTAAAGAAACTGCTGCAGTATTTATTATGTGTTATAAGTATAATAATAAGTAATTTTTTGAAATGTTTATGAATTAAATAATTATATTAATATTTCACCACAAGAATATGACTACCACGAACAATCCAACGTTCAGTAAAGTTGTATTTAAATACTGTCTCACTCCACTTTCTCTGTAATCTAATGGTGTACCATCTTTTAATAAGCACATATTTTGCCTTAAGTTTGATGACAATTCTTCCAATAAATCAATAAACTCATTTTATAAAAAATGTAAATGAATCTCGACATTCAAATTGCACGGTAATTCGCATCTCCGTAAAAAATAATTACTAATGGTTTCAAACCATAGGACATGCATTTTCAATATAAATTTTGAATGATATTTTACGGATATGCCAATTACCTTTTAATTTAAATGGTGAGATTTATTTACGTTTTTTATAAAATGATTTTATTGATTTATTAAAAGAATTATCATCAAACTTAAGGCGAAATATGTGGTTTCTATAAGATGGTAGACCATTACATTACAGAGAAAGCAGAGTGAGACAGTATTTAAATACAACTTTCCTGAATGTTGGATTGTTCGTGGTCTTGTGTTGAGATAATAATATAATTATTTAATTCATAAAAATTTCATAAAATTACTAATTTTTATACTTAAGACAACTATAATAAGTACTGCAGCAGTTTCTTTAGAACCAATGATGTTATTTAATTTGAAACGATATTTTATGGAATGTATTGACAAATCAATTAAAGAAAATAGTGGACATATCGAACTCTGACTTTGACAAAATTTTAATGTTATTTAGTATACCTATTTCTTGATTTGGTTTGTAAATAAAATATTTTGATTATGACTTGAATTTAATACAAAACGTAAAATGTTTGATGTAAAATCCAATTATGCTGTTATTTTATCAAATCCTATTATTAATATTATCCTGCTGATATATTTATTTTATTTAATATTGCGTTAACTATTAACTTTATTAAAGGTCTTTTATAACAAAATTCGGAAGTCTTGATGTTTTTATCTATTTTTCTTTCATTGCCTGGAGTAATTGCGTTAAATCAGAATTATGCAGTTGATTTGTAAAATGCGATTTTCTCAAAAACTGTTGAGTTTTGAAATTACACAAAAAAGATTCCAAGCATTCGAACTCTGGTGTTACCGTAAAATGCTCAGAATATCCTACATGAGCCAAACGACAAATGCGGAAGTCTTGCGGAGGATGAATAAGGAAAGAGAGCTTATGCTTATAATAAAAGAACGGAAAACACAATATTTTGGTCACATCATAAGAAATCAAAAGTATAAACTGCTCCAACTTATAATCAAAGGCAAAGTCAATAGCAAAAGAGGACCAGGAAGAAGACGCAACTCCAGGCTTAAACACCTACGGCAATGGACGAACATGACCTCCATAGAACTATTCAGGGCTGCTACAAATAAGATTAAATGGGCAAATGTAATGACCAACGTCCTTAAGGATAAGGCACCGTAAGAAAAAGAAAGAATTCTACAGAAGTGCTTGAATCCAGATTAAAATCAAACAATCTCCATACGAAGAGTATCACTTTTTCTTGGTATCATCGTCGTGAATGGAAATTTGCTTTTTACTTTCAAAAAAAGAAGAAATGATTTTCTGTTAGAACGTTTAATCAGTGGTCGAATATTTTGGACTTGATTATAAACGTACTGAAGACTCTTCATAGATTCATTAAAACCTAGTTTGAAAGCTGTCCTTTTACATAATGGAAACAACGATGCTTCAATTCTAATAGCCTACTCCTTTCATTTTAAAGAAATATATGACAGTATGAAAATTCTCTTGGAAAATATTAAATACGAGAAACACAAACAACTGGTCTACTAGGTTTGCAAAGTGGATTTACTAAAGTCCCTTTTTTTCTTTGTGAATACGTTAGCAGAGATAGATCACATCACTATACAGTAGAATATGGAAAAAACGAACCCAGTTGACACCAGGCTCAAAGAATATCTTAAAACAGTCCATTATTAAAGCACAAACATGTTCTGCTTTCACCGCTACATATTAAACTGGGTTTAATGAAACAATTCGTGAAAGTGTTGAATCAGGATAAACCATGTTTCCAGTATTTGGGTTTCCTAAGATCACTTCTGAGAAAATAAAAGCTGGAATTTGTGTGGGTTCTTAAATTCGCCAACTAATGATCGACCCTGACTTTAAAAAATGCATGGATACTAAAGAAAAAATGCATGGATGAGCTTCAAAACAGTTCTTGGGAAACAAAAAAATCTGAATTACAAAGAAATAATGGCTTGTTAAGAACTTTCCAAAACCTAGGTTGTCTTTGGGACAATAAAATTATTGTAAAGTGAAAGGTGACTTGCAATATGCGATGCAGAAGTTATAGTCAGAAATTAAATAATACTCGCAAATAAAAGTAAACAGCAGTTTCCAATACACTATAGGTATGTACCTTTATGTTTTTTTTTTATTATTTTTATTTATCCGCATCAACCACTAGGGTTATTAGCGGTATGTTTATGATACAAATATAGAAAATAAGATACATTTTAAAAGTCATGACTTACAACAAAATGGTATTATGTACATGTATGTAAATGTAACAAAAATTAAATCACAATTTATTATAGAGTTTACAGTGTTTTAAAAAAGACAGAACTTCATTGAATTTTATATCCAGTGCTTCTTTCAGGCTGTTGGGTATCTTGAATATCGCCTTGGCTGAGGTGTACTCTGGACATTCTATTAATATATGGTTGACTATGAAAGGTGTTTGGCATCTTTGGCACATTGGTAGTGGTTCTTTGGAGATTATGTAGCCGTGTGTAAGTCGTGTATGCCCAAGTCGGAGTCTGCTGATAATTACCTGGTCTTTTCGTTTT